CTCGAGTTAAATCTGGAGTCAGGTATGATCCCGACGGAGAGTCACAAATTAGTCAAAAGCAGACAGCAGATCAAGCAACTCATGAAAGCGCCGAATCTATTGCCGGAACAGAAAATGGATTATCATATCAGGCAAATACAAATATAGTTAGAAGAAAATTCATGCACATTTAAGATATATAGAGAGGTAATTATAAAAATTATTATTGCTTGTATTATTTCAAAGAGTATTGTTTTATAAAAGTTTACTGACTGTTTTTATCTAAAATATATATACATATTCGTATATATGTTGCTTATATTGAGCTGGTATACAGAGGTTATCAGATTTCTTTCTCAATCACAGACGCATGAAGCTGTTAAGAAAGACCGATCTATGCTGGAATACAGCGGTAACCTAAAAATAGATAGTGACAGTGGCAGAGTCGTGACCATCGCCGCGTGATAGATGATAGGGAAATATATATTGACGGCAGGGAGCTGATGCCGAGGAGATCTTTCAGAAGGAAGGTGTATCCAAAATCGCACACGTACGTATATATGTTGTTTTGTAAAAGTTGTAAAGTTAAGAGAACGAGAAAGTGATCTGTATTTAAATGCACGTGTGACAGGCACTATCGCGTAATAAAGATTTCTCCGAAGAATGTTTATATTGTACTTTACTTTTGTTAACTTGAATGCTTTGAATGTACAATCTCGCGTCTTCAAAATATAATAATTCTCAGACACTGTTGAAAAATAATTGTCTAGCACAAAAGGTCCTTTTGTGCTAGATAATACGAGTTGCTACAAAGTGCCTCTAATTGTAAGAATCTCTTCTCCTTTACCCCCTCTTTCTTTTCCCAATCCCGAATTAACACTATTGCGTGGTTCGTATCGCGTGTCATTATCTATTATAAATGTCCTCCTTTTCTCTCGTTTTCTCACGCAGGAACATTTTATATTCAACTATATGGTATACAATTTTGCCGCTATATATTGACCGCAGGGAGCTGATACCGAAAAGATCTTTAAGAAGGAAGGTGTATCCAAAATTGCACATGTATGTACGTATATGCTGTGTTGTAAATTGTAAAAGTTAAAAAGAACGAGGAAACGTTCTGTAGCACAATTTATATTGTAGTTATGCTAAAATATTTGTGAATTGAGTCCCTGTTATCCATTATTATAATATAATTTTTATCAGCAATATTAGAGGAGTAACGAAAATTAATTTTATTAAGTATTCAAAGCAATTGATAGTTTTTAGCATTAAGTATTTTCATTTTCTCATAATATGCTTAAAAAATATTGCAGGGAACTTATGAGTTATGCGAAGGAATTGATACTATTAAGATTCATTGATTATATGAAGTTTGCACACGTCAAGCTTGACATCCTTAAGGTTGTATGACCCCTTAGAAGAAAAAATGCCAAATTCTTCAAACTTTGTCAGGTGATGAGTATTATAATAATAAAGCATTGTGCCAAGTTTGAACAAGTTTGCGAGGCCCGTTCAAAAGTTATAACAATTTGAATTTAACATGGGCTCTGATGGGAATTCATCAAGTTTCACTGTTTTTTCAACTTCATTTGAGAAATTAATATCGAAGAAAATATGGCATTCTTTTAAAACTTTGCAGAAATATTAATAAACATCTTACAAACAAATTAGAACAAAAAAAATTATGACTTCGAGGATATTTTCTGAAATATTAAATAAAAACCAAACAGAGAACAGTCTCGCTTGGTCTCGCTGAACTCGTAAGTACAGAGATCCGGCAACAGCGCACTATGACGTCACATTAGAACCTCTTTCTCCGTCACTCTCCGTAAAGGATAACAAATACTACAGAGGTCCGTTACTTTTTCCAATAGAGCCTCCTGTGTATCGAAAGTGTGCTCTGAGCACGTGTAATATACAGACGCATCGTTTGAGGTTAGTTTTCGCTTGCGCTACGAAAATGCCGAAAGTAAAACGTTACATGTGGAAAGGAAAAGTTGTCACTGAAAAAGTGTACAATCAACGGTTAGCACAGACAAATACTGGGAAACGTAATTTGAAGACACGAGTCGAAACCACACCAGATGATTGTAACAATTCCATGGCACATGTAACGTTTTACTTTTGGCATTTTTGTAGCGCAAGCGAAAACTAACCTCAAACGTTGCGTCTGTATATTACACGTGCTCAGAGCACACACTTCGCGTTCACGCAGCTGATGTCGAGTGAGATCAATGCTACCAACTTACAGAAAATGCGACGTTGTCGCGATCAAAATACTTTTTTATGAGAGCTATTGTATTTAATTTATTAATAAATGACGTAAATAAATAACGTAATATAATTTCATTAGTATTTTTAAACAGTAATTACTATGTTTTGTTACTTTTTAAAGATTTTCACACTTTCAGATTTTCGTTTGTGTCAGTTGCAAGTCAGGTACAGTCTTTCTAAAAATCATTAAAAGTGAAAGTTTGCATACGAGAAAATATGCATAAAAATGTCTCTATAGCTCTTAAAAACACAGGCAACCGTTATTTTAATAAAATATTAATATAAATATTACTTTCCAGTAAAGAATATCTTCTTAAATATGTTAATTAGCTTTATGTTACGTTTCTTAAACTTTTGGCAGAGATCTTACGGGTCATACAACCTTAAGATCACAATGCATTCTGAAAACGATACCGTGCAAGTTCGTTGGCGTATACGTGGTGTCACAGGCTGGAAGGTATTTTCTATGTTTTGGAAGTAAAATTTGGAAAATACAACATGCCATAATAAGCGCTAACCAGGAAATGTAAGTGTAATCAGTGCTCTAAACATTCCTTTTAATAGTAATATAAAATTATTCTTATAAACATTAATTATATAATTAATTTAAATTGTCTATTATTTTAAAAGAACTTGATTTTTAGTTTCGTTTTTTATTCTACCTTCAGAAAAAGTTAAAGTAATTTAGATTTCCTAAAATTAATTTTGTTTATGCTATCGGAGAGGAAACACTTATTATAAAATTGATTATAATACCAAGACAATTATATATAACGATTTCAGATGATACGACGGCTTTTTTATTTTTTACGTTAATGCTGAATGGAAAAGTCTATAAGCATATTGCGGACAAGATGATGCCTAATCAGGATACAGCCACGAAAAAGAAAGATATGCGCATGGCAGGGAAATTAGCGCTATTCACAGGCCTTGCCTGTGCATATTTAGTAACATAAGCATATTTAGTAACAACGAGGATTTTTTGAATTGAGCTCTGTCTTAAAATTGCATCAATTGAAGTGAATCCATTGCTGAGTGCTGAAATTATACGATTTTATCCGTCACAACGAATAGACCAAGAGGAATGCTTTTTCCAGTCGATGGTTTCGAATGTTGCTGACATATCTATTTCGTTGCAAATGCATCATTATGAAATAATGATCGGTAGTAAATGAAAGATATGTGAATTAAAAAGATGTGTACATTAACTAAACAGTATCTTTGTTTGATTACAAACTATCTTCATCTAATTTTTTAGTGAAAATGTCCGAATAATTTGCGTCAGTATTTCTGTGTAAAAAAATATGACGATTATATTACAGTATATCTGACGATTTTAACATAATTATAGAGGTAGGGTGTCTAAATTGTTATCGTTCCATCCAAATGTAGCTTTTATACTATTCGGATAGTATCGATATTTTATGCTGCTTAGAAACAAGTAAAAAGTATTTTAAGACACTTGTATCGTTTCCAGAATATAAAAACTTGTGTTTAGATTACAGATAACGTTTTAAGTATTGGCGTATTTATTTCGTTGCAAATGTATCATTATGAAATGATGGTCGGTAGTAAATAAGAGATATGTGAATTAAAAATATGTACATTACCTAACCCTTCATCTGATTTTTTAATTTTAGTAGTGACAATGTCGGAATAATTTTGCGTTAGTATTCCTGTGTAAAAAAATATGGCGATTATACGATTATATTACAATATATCTGAAAAATGTTAGAAAATGAAACAATTGTTTAAAGGTATCCTGTATATCATAGTATTTATTTGCTTTGCCTGTATGGAATGTTAATAACGCGTAAGATAATATGATCATTAAAGTAATATTTCTTAAATGTATATTTCATACTTAATTTTATTTCATAAATACTGTCACATTTATTCCTATGAATTGTTTTCATCACGCTATTATGATTTTAACATAATTATAGGGGTATAATAGGTTGTGTAAATTATTACCGTTCCATCCAAATGTAGCTTTTATAGTATTATTTATTGTATCGATACCTTAAGCTGTTTATACAAAAGTAAAAAGTATTTTAAGACGAGAGAAAGATATACAGATAGAAAACGAAGAAAGAAGGAAAAGAGAAGGAACAATATAGAGAAAGGTATTATATATTATAAAAATATTTATTATATTGCAAATATATTTAAATTTATATATTAGTTAACTTCTTTATATACACTACC